TGGTGTATCTATAATTTTTTCTAGAGAAGTTATCTTTGATTGCAGTTATAATTATTTAGATCCGGAAGGAAGATTTATTATTCTGGTGGGTCAAATGAATGGGTTGGATTATACTTTTGTCAATGTTTATTTACCCAATAAAGACCCAATTAAAACTTTGACGAAAATTTTAGGTCTGGTAGAACAGGTTAAAAAAGGTAGAGTCATTCTTGCAGGTGACTTTAATTGCATCTTTGATACCTCTTGGGACAAACAATTGGCTAAAAATCAGAGGATAGATAAATCTCTTAAAAGGCAGGCGGCATCATTAAGCAGAGTGATTAAGAAAGCGGATATGTTTGACTGTTGGAGACTGTTCCATCCCAATGAAAGAAATTTTACGCACAGATCTATTCCACATAATTCGGCTGTTCGGATAGATATGATTTTGGGTAATTTAAAATTAGTTCAGGCAATCTCTCTAATTTCTGTCGTTGAAAATACTTGGTCAGACCATGATATGGTAATCGCAGATCTGGTGGAAATTAATAAGAGACCTCCTCAGATCTGGAAATTGGCAGATTATCTGCTAAAAAATAAAGCAAATGTAGAACATATAGAGAAGATAATTGATTTCTTTATTAAGGAGAATTCATCTGAGGAGGTATCTAAAGAATGTTTATGGTCCTCGTGTAAAGTAGTCATTAGGGGACATTGGATAAAACTTTCAAGTTTTCAAAAAAGAAATGTAGATAATATTTTGTCGGATCTTTACATTCAATTTTATAATCTCTCTAAAGCTAACAAACAAGTTTACTCTGAAGATAGAGCTTTAGCTATTAAAGTCTACCAAGAAAAGATAAATGAACAGATTAAGAATAGGGTGGAATGTAATTTAAACAAGTTAAATATTAAATATTATTATAAGAATAACCGGGTAGACTCAGTCTTAACAAATAAACTAAAGAAAAAGATGACTGACCATAAGATATCTAAACTAAGAGATGGGAATAATTACATCTATAAGCCTGAAGAAATTGCCAGTAAATTTAGAGCGTTTTATCAAAAACTTTATAATCTGAATAAATCCCCTGATCAAGATGTGTTGGACAGTTACTTGAAAAATTCCAATCTGTTTAAATTATCTAATGACTAGATGGTGAAACTTAATAGAAATATATCTTTTCATGAAGTGGAATTGGCAATTGATAAGCTTGTTAATAGTAAAGCTCCTGGACCGGACAGGTATATGAATTTGTTTTTTAAGGTTTTTAAGAGACAATTAATTCCGTTGTTAACTGACACCTTTAATGAATTGGCAATCAAAGGGAATGCATCTCAAGATTTATTAAGGGCTCACATTACTCCAATTTTGAAACAGGGCAAAAGTCCAGATGATGTGAGTAATTATCGCCCTATTTCTCTGGTTAATGTGGATATGAAACTTTATGCCGCAATTTTAGCGGAACGTTTGAAAATAGTTTTGCCATCACTTATACACAGGGACCAGATAGGTTTTATGCAGGGAAGACATTCCTCTGATAACACTCGCAGGGTCTTGGACATTTTAGAATAAAAAAGTTGAGGGAACCCCCCTTCTGACCCTGTCGGTGGATGCAGAAAAAGCCTTCGACAGGGTCGGATGGGGATATCTGAACAGAACTTTGTTACAGTTCGGTTTTGACGGATGGTTCTTGAGTGCGGTGGGAGCTATATAATTGAATCCCTCTGCCCGTATAGTAGCCCGTGATTTATGCTCAGACTGGTTCTATATTAATAATGGAACGAGACAGGGGTGTCCTCTTTCACCTTTATTATACATCTTATCAATTGAACCACTAGCAAATAATATTAGACAAAATGTTGGGATTAAAGGAATAGGAAGCCAACTTGATGAATGGAAGATATGTTTATATCCTGATGATATCTTAATTTCTATTACGGATCCTCTGGTTTCTCTTCCGCATTTAATGCAAGAATTTAACAAATACAGTAGTGTTTCAAATTATAAATTGAACACGAATAAAACAATAGCTATGTCGATTAATATCCATAAAGATAATTTATTTTCCCTAAAGAAAGATTTCGACTTTAAATGGACAAAAAAAGAGTTTATATATTTGGGGGTAATCATAACTGCAGAGATAAGTCGGACTATGGAAATCAATTTTTTGAAGCTGTTAAAAGAGACTAATATGTTATTAAAAGAATGGAGAGTGCATGAAATTTCCTGGTGGGGAAGGATAAATACTATTAAAGCTTATATAATTCCTAAATGGGCATACTTATTTAGTATGCTCCCTCTCTCGATTTCGAGCTATTGGCTGAATATGCTGCAAACTAGCATTACAGCGTATGTTTGGAGAGGGAAGAGACCAAGAATTAGTACATACACTCTATCAAGGAAGGCCCATCAGGGGGGGTTGGGTTACCCCCTTGTTAATCAAATCTACCAGGCTAATATACTAGTTCATGCCAGTAAATTACAATTAAGCGACTCTACAGACCAAGCTTGGTATAAAATTGAAGCAGCCAGACTTGGTTTAGATAACCTCGAATTCCTTTTATGGAGAGAGGCAAGCCAGAATAGGCATCTGTGCGAGATTGGTTCTCATTGTCCTTTGTCTTTATCACAGACATTAAAAGAATGGACTAATATAAAGAAGAAGTTGAATATTAACAGAAAAATATATGAGAATCTGAGTCTAAGGTCGTTAGAATGTTTTATGCTAGAGATAAATTTGCCGAATTGGTATAAAGACTCTAATCATAAGATAAAAGATCTTTATAATGACCACCAATTGAAAAGCTTTGATGTTTTGAAAAATTGGTTAGATTTACCCTCTAGAGAATTATTTAACTTTCTTCGTATTAAGAGCTATTTGAAAGATAATATATTGGTTTTAGAAGGCAGTTTTGGAATACTGTTTAGGAAAATCTTTTCGAGGTATAACGTTAAAAGGATCTTCTCTATTGCAGTTGAATTAATAAAAATGAAAGGGACCCCTCTTATCCCCAAAGCCTTAACTAAATGGGAAACTGATCTAGCAATTTCTATTCCATTTAATAGTTGGTGCAAATCCTTTGTAAGGACTAAAAAAATCATCCACTGTTTGAATATTTTAGAGACTTTTACTAAAATATTATATAGATGGTACTTGGTACCGATCAGACTTGCTAAAATTTCTATTACTCACCCATCTAACTGTTGGCGGTGTCTACATCCAGATGGCTCTATGGTTCATATATGGTGGTCCTGCCATCGAATCAAATCTCTTTGGACGATTACATATGAATTTATAAATAGAATTGGAGGTACTTATTTGGAATTCAAACCGGAAGTCGCTTTACTCCATCTTTTGGACTCATAAATAAAGGATAATCTTGATATTGTGATTATACACTGTTTATTGGCTACTAAAATATTAATAGCTAGATTTTGGAAAAGCACTGACATTCCTACGAGAGATCAAGTTAAAGCCCAACTCCTATTCCAAGTTGAGATGGAAAAGGGGTTATTGTCTATGAGAGAATATCCTAATTTTAATGCTCTGACGTTTTATTCTAGTCTTGTCGAAAAAATTAATGGGCTTTAATGAGTCTGAGGTAGTGGGGTTACTTCATACGATCACCTTATGGTTAGTCTGATGTTTTTATAATGGGTTCTATTGCTGGGCTCCTTGGCCTCATATTGTTTTATTTAAATGTGGTATGGGATCTGCAATATATATGACCAGTTTTGTCTTTGTCTTTGTTTTTGTCTGTCTTATCTATAAGGCTTTTTAAGGCCATTTTTGGACCACGATATTCATTCGATGGGACATTAATGTTACTATATTATTGTGTTCTAGACGGCCTATTGATTAAATTTGAAATAGAACATTATATTTATGTATGTTTAATGGGGATAGGAGTCCTTATTTTCTCTCTGTAAGGTTCCTTCCCCTAGGTGTTGTTATGTCTATTAATATTTACATGAAAAAATTTAATAAAAAGAATTAAACAAAAAGCATAAGAGACTGCTGCATGACTTGTGGCTCAGACTGCTTGACTGATTTGCAAGGGGGTGAGGTGAAAGACAGATGGCCATGGGCTGCAGGTGCCAACTCTGAGCTTTCAGCAGGGCACCGAGTGGGAGGCAGTGTGCAGGAACTGAAGGCACTGTCAGCCATCCAATCTACTATCGTCTGTAATTGTTCTGGCCTCACCATTCGTAGAGCGGCATTCAGGCCTACCAAATGACGCTGAAGGTTCCAGGTTTTTTTCCAGCATTCGTGGAGGGTTTATTCACTGCCTCATCAATATAGATAATATAATCTGAGATAGACAATATAACAGGAATAGAAACAGAAGCCTCACTGTATCAGTTATGCCTAAGGTTGACAGTTACGAGACCTCCACTATGCCAGAGTCAGAATGCAATTACTAAGCTTACTGAAGCAGAAAAGCTATTTAGGAGGAAGGAGGGACTCTGTCTTAAAAAAAAAAAAAAAAAAAAAGGCAAATGAGAAACAAGTGTCTTGCTTGGGGGACCTGCCTTGGATGTGACATCAGAATCCCCTCACTTGCCTCTAAAGAGATTGCTTCTCCCTGCACTATGAAAATTCTGCTGATATAGGGAATGGTCTAGCCTTGGTCGACTCGGCAGCTGAGAACTTAATAGATTCTTTGTTAAGAAACTCAAGATAGGGGGGCGGAGTCTGGACGTCGAACAGAGCAGACGTGTCTGCCACGAGCTCCGGCTGAGCGGGCAAAAATGGGGCAAAAAGCGGGGGTAATATGGCCCAAAGTTTCACATGGGTGCATCACCCACGTCGGGGGTGCCCCGCTGACTTGACGGACACTACCCAGGGGCCCGTTGGGGCCGAGAGTACTAAAATCCAGGCATGGCCTACAGGGGCAGGGGAGAGGCTGCCGCTCTCCTTGGCACCGAGGCCCTCCAGACACCAAACTTCAGCTTACCCCACCCCCGGACCAGTGGGGGATATCCCGGATCCCGCTGGACACACCGGCCGGGGTGAATGGCGGACACACCGGCCAGGGTGAATGGCGGACACACTGGCCATATGACAGCTAGGGGCAACGGGCCTAAACAGCACTACCAAGAAGGCTCTGTAAAAGTTTCTGGGGAATACTGCACAACAAAGGAGCTACTTACCACTGTGCAGAAACCCTGGTGGCCTTGTGGATCCGACCAGCGAAAAGATGCAGCCACTACGGGCACACACCAAGAGAATCAAAAGCGGCAGTCCGGCAGCGCAGATACCTTCAGTCCACAAAGCGTGAAAAAGCACGATGTTTACGAGACGTAGGTACCTGCCGGCGACCACACAAAAGTGAGCCCTCCCTACAAGTGGCACCAACAAAGGCCTCACCAAGCCAGCTTCCCTGCGCTTGGCACAGCACAACCCAGCTCCCTGCGACCAAAGCCACAAAGCGAGAGAACGAGCGGCTGCACATTAGGAGAATGAGCGTCTCCCGTATTGGGTGACGAAAAGCGAAGACCTTAAATGCCTGATGGCATACCGCGGTGATGCTGCTGGCACAGAGGACATTGCAGACCATATTCAATGTGGTGGACTCCTGCTCCTAATCGACTAGTATAATCTGACATACATTTTTACGATTACCTAAGGCGAAAGCACAACCTAACAGATTACTAGTTAAGCTCATATGCACTGTTAGATTATAAAGCGATGCTACTTTAATTATAAGCATGACTTAGCAATGTTTCTTGTTCTTCAGAGCCCTGCAGCCTGTGTAGGTACAGCATAACATGTCTATCACTAGCCCAGCAGGTCCTATACAAGTAAGACTCACGATCACTCTATTGTCACAGAAAACTAGACATGCAAGAGTCTTACATTATGCTTTGTTTTTACCATATGCATGAAAAGTTAACCCTGTTGATTCCCATATTACCTGAAAACTTGCTCAGTTACAATCTTATACATGTCTCAGGGAACTACTGATTATCCAATCTATATGCATGACCTTAATTAACTATTGCTTGTCTCACATACTCAATCTCCATATAAGCTACTCGCAATAGAACTGACCTTGCATATTAATATAAAAAGGTGCAAGTATTCCCGTGTACCCCACTGTTATAACTGTTGTTGAAACGTATGTGGAATGCCGTTGGGGTACCACATACGCGTTGTTATATTTTTTTGCACTACAAAAATAAAGAATTAAAAAAAAAAAACCACAAGATACCCTTAAGGGAGAAAGAAACACTCTCCAAATTC